TCAGGGTTCTGAGCAGTGTGGAGATGAGATTAAGATCTGTTTTTACTAGGGTCATGAAGAGGACACMCATAGATGACTCATTAGTCAATAAGGAGTCAAAGCCCCAAACTTAAATCTGAATCATGGAAATAGACTAGGTAAGTAACTAAAGAGCAAATACAAGGAAAGGGAAGGGGATTATTTTTTGGGGGTGGCACTGGGGATTGAACCCAGGTATGCTTAACCACTGAGCAACATTTCCGGCCCTTTTTATTTTTTATTTTGAGACAGGATATCACTGAGATTTTCGGGGCCTTACTAAGTTGTTTATCTTTGAACTCACGATCCTCCTGCCTTAGCCTACCGATTCGCTGGGATTACAGGTGTGCAAGAAAAGGGGATTTTTCTACTACAAAGTGTTAAGTCTTATCCCTGTTGACCAAGACAAGTCAGAAGCCTGTTACAGTTCAGGACCTAGATTGTTCCAAAGTACAGCTTACTACAGTGGAAGGGGGTATTCTGGAAATGGTGGGACCAGAAAGAAGGGAATTTATTGTGTGCTTTATTGTACCTGCTTAACTTATCCATTCTCTTTGGGAACCAACAGTAAGGGTATGGGTGTTGCTATCAGATTCTAATCCAGGATAATAGGTGCACACACTAATAGCAGATTGACTACCTCAAAGGCTGATATAATAAATAAAATAAGATGTGTAAAAGCGCCAGCACTAAATAGGTGAAACCCAGAACTAAGCACGCTTTTTAAAAAAATTTTCATTTCCATTTATTTTAAAAATTGATATTTAAAAATAAACTAAACCTCCACAACAAATGAGTTATACAAAAAGTAAAAAAAAGAAAAGAAAAATTGCAATTAACTAATGATTAAGAATAAAAGTAATTCAACTTTTACATACATAAGCATATTTTAATCATTTGGGAACTTACTCTGATTAGTAATTTCCTTATACTTGCATAATGAAAGACACACATTGTGGTTCTAAGATGTGTATATTAGTTTATACTATGAATTTTGGTATTGTGTCTACATATGACAGCTTATTATTGGAATCAATAAACACTCCTGGCTTTCTATATAATACAACAATATCACCTTTTTATAATTTGGCACAAGCACAAGTTTTAAAAGGTCATTTCTATTGCTTATTTCTTTGTTCAAAGTTTGTAGTGGCTAGATTGTATTTTAGGCATCTATCTGGTCCATATATATATGTAAATATACATATATATGTAAATATAGTTTAACTCCTCTTACAGGTAAGGGAACTGACACAGGTGCTAATTAACTCATTGTAAGTCATACCTCTACCTTGTAATAGTAGGAGTTTCGCTGTCCTTAATCATATTTCTTTCTTTATTTTTATGCAGTGCTAAGGATCAAACTCATCATGCCTCACACATGCTAGGCAAGCGCTCTGCCACTGAGCTGTAGCCCCAGGCCCTTAATCATATTTCTTGAAAAGACTTATAATATTTGAGATTTTGTTTATTTGTGTATTTGGAAGATTCCCTTAGAAAAATAGTCAGACTCAACTTTATGGTCCTCGCCATTTAAACAGTCTTTTCTTTGGTTTATATGTATGAACTTTCTTGGCAATCGCTTTGGAGTTTTTTCTTTTCTATTTTTTTGGAGAAGGGGCCATTCAGTCTGCCAAAGAACTATATACTAGCCCCTGGAGAAAGCTTTTTTTTGGAGTGCAGGGAAAGGTACTAGGGATTGAACTCTGGTGCTTAACCACTGAGCCAAATCCCCAACCCTGTTTTTATTTTTTTTAAAGACAGGGTCTTACTGAGCTGTGCTCAGCACCTTGCTTTTGCTGAGGTTCGCTTTGAACTCTTGATCCTCCTGCCTCAGCCTCCCAAGCTGCTGGTATTATAGGCCTATGCCACCGTGCCCCACTGGAGACAGTTTTTAACCCCGAAGCAGGCTTTTCACCCAGTGGTCCTGACTTTATATACCAACTCTGTGATTGCCTGGATCTCTGTGTTCTTGAAAAAGTTACTTCATCTCGGGGCTGGGGATGTGGCTCAAGCGGTAGCGCGCTCGCCTGGCATACATGCGGCCTGGGTTTGATCCTCAGCACCACATACCAACAAAGATGTTGTGTCCTCCGAAAACTAAAAAATAAATATTAAAAAAAATTCTCCCTCTCCCTCTCCCTCCCTCTCCTGTCTCTTTTTTAAAAAAAGTTATTTCATCTCTGTTTTTATTCATTTGAAAAAATGAGAATAGATATGAGAATGAAATATAAAATACCCCAAACAGATCATGGCATATGCTAAATGCTCATGGAAATTTCTGAAAATTTCTCCTTACTTTTAGGTGATAAGGGTTTACAAATTTTAAATACCATATTCTATCAATTAGAGGATGTATATTTATTGGTGATATATTTACATTTATTGATGATAAAGATAGAAAAGTGTACTACTAAAAACTCTATTCTGGGCTGGGGTTGTGACTCAGCAGTAGAGAGCACTYGCCTAGCACATGCGAGGCCCTGGGTTCAATCTTTAGCACCACATAAAAAAACAAACAAAATAAAGGTATGTGTACAACTAAAAAATAAATATTAAAAAAACAAAACAAAACAAAAAACACTATTCAGCTGGGCTCAGTGGTGCATGCCTGTAATCCCAGCGGCTCAGGAGGCTAACACAGGAGGATTGTGGATTCAAAGCCAGCTTCAGCAATAGTGAAGTGCTAAGCAACTCAGTTAGACCCTGTCTCTAAATAAAATACAAAATAGGGCTGAGGATGTGGCTCAGTGATTGAGTGCCCCTGAGTTCAATGCTCAGTACCCCCCCCCCCAAAAAATGAATGTTCATCTCAACGCTGGATATCAAATTGGTGAGTTATCTATTGTTTTGAATTATCCATGTGAGTTTTTACAATTCTCTCAGGAGACTTAGCCCTGTGAACCTGGAGAAATAGACAGTTGGGGCCTGTCTTGCTCTTCTTTGTCTTCAGCCTGAACAGCCTTGTGTTCATGTTTCAAAACCACTTCTGCTTTTGAAAGTATTTGAAAATCTCTAAACTGGATAGTTGTTAAATCTTCATTGGCTTCCTATTGCAAATCAGAAAAGCTTTTCAAGGAAATTATTGAGAGGGTACTTACTAACATTTTGATATGGGGGAAGGGGGTGGATTGGGGATTGAACCCAGGGTTTTTTATTTTTAGACATGGTCTTGCTAAATTGCTTAGGGCCTGGCTAAGTTGTTGAGGCTACCTTTGAACTTGTATTCCTCCTGCCTTGCTGGGATTATAGGCATGTGCTACTGTGCCTGGCTCCAACAATTGTTAGTAAGAATGAGTCTCCTTAATGAAGCCTAGGTCATAGGTTCAGAACTCTTATGTGGTTCTTTTTTTTTTTTTAATTATTTATTTTTTTATTTAGTTATCAGCGAACACATCATCTTTGTATGTGGTGCTGAGGATCGAACCCGGGCCGCACGCATGCCAGGCGAGCGCGCATGCCAGGCCAGCGCGCTACCGCTTGAGCCACATCCCCAGCCCCCAGAACAACTCTTAGTAGAAGTGTAACTTGCTTTCTATGCTGCACTGTAACTATTACTTAGAGCCCTATCAAGACAGATATACCATCACAATAAAAGTTGGTATCTCCTACATGATGGTCATATTTCTTGAGAGACAATGACTCCCATCTGGCAGACCATGTCCAGATTCTCTTCCTTAGCATCTGAATCCTTAGAGTAGTCCTTACCTTAAATGGTGATAATGATAAAGGATCATTGTGAATTCACACTGTGAATTAGTTAATGAAAGTTCCTTTTCTCTAAATAACTGTGTTTTAATACAGTTTATTAATAGCATGCACATGCTGAGAATTGAATTTAGGGTCTCACACATGCTCCAGTCCCCACTTAATAATTTCTTTCCCCGCTTCCCGATGCTGGAGATGGCACCCAGGGCATCATCATGTTAGGCAAGTGCTCTACCACTAAACTACACCCCCCGTCTTCTTGATTACTTTTGATGGTGTAGGTAGTCCATAGTAAAGCTTTTACAAGTGTTTTTGTTATGTAGATTTTTGTCTCATAGCTATCGGAAGTATGACTTACTACCAAAATTGGAAACCAGTTAGGACAATATGAAAAGTCAGTTAACTGCTTATCCGCCTATTTTATGCTAGTTGAGAAACATTCTTGGCTTCAGGGAGGGTTTGTGTCATTGCATTAGTTCTGGGTCTGACTTTGTCTTTCAGAATTCTTATTCCTTTCTACTGTGGACCTTGTCCTTATGACTTTGAGTAGTTGTCTGTGGTTTGGGCCAGACAGAAGTAACAGCCAAGAGGAGYTGTAAATAGAAGTTTGTAGGAATTTGAGTGGCTTTATAGAATCTTTCCTTGCAAGATCGTTCAATAATGTTTAAAAATAAAACAAATTGGTTTTGTGGTTTCTTCCTTTGCTTTTACCTTCAATTAACTTCCCCATCTTCTGTTTCAATGGTTTACCACCACAATATGGCCACTAAGATGCATTTTCAGAGGCAGGAACTTAGTTGCCTTTGAAGAATTTCATGCCTAGTACCTACCTTTTCAGAAAGATGGCTTTGGGTAAAGAGTGTGATCTCTCCACATTAATAACATAATTCTTAATTTTATACACCCTTCAGCTTTTTGTAGTCTCTTGTCCCAAAGCAGATATTACAAATGATTATTTTGGTTACCTGAAATTCAGCCTTATAAACCTTAAGTCATTATTTTGCTCTTTGTTGTGATATTTGGGGGCAAACTTTTTTAAGCCTTTGAGTACTTGACTTCTCCATTTTTTAAATTGATGGTGTTTTAATATTAACTTTGAGATGTTAAATGCAGTTTATCTTTAAGGTATTGTGTATTTAAAAACTGAGAGGGAGAAGTCTTTTTTTTGCGGGGGGGGGGTGACATAGGGACCTTTCTTGGGAAAGAAGCTGTATATCTGAAGTCCTGAGAAGAATAGGCATGACCCATTTACTTTTCTTTCCTTGGATTTTTAGAGTGAAGACATAGTCCAGAGAGGGAGGTATAAAGCTACAGGTATGAGCTAACTGCTGAATGGGTGTGCTGTGTGGCTTTTTAACCTTATTGCATGAGGCCTGTTGTGCAGATATATATGTATATGTATGTATGTATGTGTGTATATATATATATATATAT